AATTTGCATATTGGTAAACGGCTCTCCGCTGTGACGTGCTTCTCCACGGTTTCGTCACAGCGGCTGTGTTCTCATATAAAAGCCTCTCTCTAAGACACGCCCCTGCAACAGTCAGAGGGTGGAACAGCTAGCAAGCTTAACATGATCGTCTTGAAGAAATTTATAGTTATTATAGCTSAGTACTGATATTATAAACAACACCAGAGTATTAAGGTTTCCTTATTTTATAATACTTTTATAATGTTTGTTATATTATGTGTTAATTAAATTAGGTATATACATGTCCGAATCAATAACAACACTTAAGTGAACCGTTTTTAAACCATTAGATTAAGGTTTTTGTCTGAATGCCGGTGATTCAGCCATAGGTCAGCAGGGGGCGAACTCAGGCATTGAAGATTCTGTATATATACTGGTCCATTTCCTGTTTTTCTTCCAGTGTGTGTGGTTTTAACTTGCCAGCCATTGGCATAATAAACCCCCACTCTAGAATTCTGGTGTTGTATGACATTATTTCTTATCACAGATCATTTTATTTAACACTTGTGTTTTCATCTGATTTCAGCCGATATTAAAACACATATTTTCTTACAGTTTGTTGACCTTCAGCCTCGGGTGGAGGAGAGCTGACTGCTGCGCTCCACCTCCTCTGTCCGAGGCTGGTGTGGTGTGAGGCGGACGGCGCTCAGCCGAGGCTGCTGGAGCTCGAGGTCCTGATCATCGGAGCCAACATGAGTCAGTCCCAGACTGAGCTGACTTGACCAAGTCTCTCTCTGCCTTTGGTGAGGAGGGGGGTGAAAAATCCTCCATTTCAGACCGTTTAGAGATGTAACGATCTGCGATACTATGGTCACTCTCCATGTAGCATCAATTATGCTAATGCTAGATGCCTGTCAAGTTCTCTCGTCCTGGCCACGCCTCCGCTCTCTAACACCCCTTTCCCTACCCACACCCCCTCCTCTACCCACTTTGATGCATTTTTCAAATTTCGCCTTGGGGCGGAGTTATCTTTTCACAGGGGGGTAAGATACACTTAAACYAGATACCGCATAGCGGTAACATAATGACACCCGCACGCAGAAATGCACCAGAACTCATAAGTCTTTATTCCTAATAAATGTCATGCTTCTAAGTGCATCCCAAAATTGTAGTGGTTTTGGTGGGGGTCCTTTTTGGGGGGTAGGGGAGTGGGGGGCATTGGTTGACCTTATGGATAGCCCCTCATCAGAGCCAAACAACCAACGAAAATCTGAAGCTCCTATGTTTAATAGTTTTTGAGCTATAACCATTTTTGTACGTCCAGATAACCCTTTTTCAGATAAATTTGGGGTCCGGGGGGGTGTGGGGGGGTGTGGTGGCATTGATTGGTGGGCCTGATGGATAGCACTTTGTCATGACAAAACAACAAAGAAATTCAGAAGCTCATATGTTTAATAGTTTTTGAGCTATAACCATTTTTGCACGTCCAGATAACCCTTTTTAAGATAAATCGGGGGTCCGAGGGTGGGGGCACTGATTGGTGGGCCTGATGGATAGAGCTTCATCAGAGCTAAACAACAAAAGAAATCTGAAGCTTCTGTGTTGAACAGATTCTGAGTCATAAGCATTTTTGCATGTCCAGACACCCACTCTTTGAAAGGAGCCCCCTCCTCAAATATGGGGTCTATTGTAAAACCGTTGGCTGGCGCAGTGTAGGTCGGACTCAACTATAGTCCTGCCAAATTTCATGTTGATTGGTGCAGCCGTTTTTGTGCTACGGTTGACCAAAAATCACTGAAAAAAAACCCAGTACGAAAACGATATGACTCCCACTTATGCTTCACATCTGGGGGTCATAATAAGCCTAGACACTGCATAGCAGTAACATAATGACCGGCACACGGACAAATGCACCAGAACTCAGAAGTCTTTATTCCTAATAAATGTCATGCTACTAGGTGCATCCCAAAATTGTACTGGCTT